CACTCCCCCCATCATTCACTATGGTAAGATTTTTTGTTCTGATGATGCCTTACACCTGATCCCTTCGACACCTCGTGGGTGACAACTGATTTAAGAGAACAGCATGAAGCTGTGAAATTTTCTTTCTTGCTCAGGAAAAATGCCTCAGAAACTGTTGTGACATTGAACACAGCTTACAAGGACAGCTCTCTGGGAAAAACTCAAGTGTACGAGTGGTTTTCTCATTTCAAAAAAGGTGAAATGTCGATTGATGGCAAACCTCATTTTGGATGTCCTTTGGAGTTTGTTCCACCAGGTCAGACTATTAATCAAGCTTTTTATTTCAAAGTTCTGAAAACACTGTGTAACAGTGTGTGACAAAAAAGGCCTGATTTGTGGCAATTGGGGTACTGCTTTTGCCATCACGACAATGTACCTGATCACATAGCCACCTCAGTGTACCAGTTTTTGGCCAAAAAACCCAGCATGCCTCTCTTGCCCCACACACCTTACTCACCTGACCTCACTCTGCAAATTTTTTGCTTCCTCCAATGCAGAGGGACGTGAAAGGAGAGCAATTGGGCGACTTAGAAGAGGTGAAGAGAACGAAGAAGGTGCTATCGCCATCCAAACAGATGAGTTTGAAAAATGTTTCCAAGAGTGTAATTGCAGATTTGACAAATTAAGCGTAAAACGTGGGGGTCCAGCCTCCCCACAACTGCATGGGTCCAAGGGGTGGCTGTGTAATTGAGGGGTAAATTAGAGACATCAGACAAGATAATGTATGCATGGGCTCACCTCCACAGTCATGATTTCAGGAGCCAGGTCCACCCACAGAGAGATTAATGTAATCTCAGGAGCTTGTACACTCTCAGACAAGCCGGCCACAATAAGCACATATGTAACTGGAAGGGGTTGTACGAGAGCCATACATGTAACAGGAGGGGGATGAGCTAGGGTGTGCATGCAATAGGAAGGAGAGGCTCTGGAGTGTAGAGGTGTACACGCACCCACAGTAATGGAGAGTACTTTGAAGGTGATGAGGTTGTTTTGTAAAAAAAACCAACAAGGAAATGCAGCTTTGCTGAGGGTGGGGAGGGGACGGTTCCAGTTTTGTTTAGGTACCCTCTCCTAGACTGACTGGCTGCTTTGCAGACTCCTGTGCTCCCAGGGTTGGCTCTGGCTTCACTGTTCTGAGAAAGGTAACCCCAGAAAGAGTACTGACTAAGAGCAATGGCCAAGTTTCAAAATGCCGATAAATGTCTCTTGGGTTTGCTGGCACACCGAATCCATCCCTTCCCGAAAAGAGGAGCCAGTAGGAGGATCTCCCCACTCCCTTCATGGCTTTCCAGACCTTCCTTGATGCTCAAATGTGGATCAGGTCTGGCTGTCACATTGGGTGGGGGGGGGGGGGGGGGGGGGGGGGGAGAGGATGGGACTGACAAGATAAGTAACAAGTAACAGTGGCACAGGATATGCACTAATAAAAATTTATTATCATAAAACAAATCAAAAAACAGCCATGTATTTTTTTCTCCAAACCATTCACAATTAAAGTGGAGAGAAAATGATAAGGCAGCCATCCATGGAATGATTATATGTTTACAAAGGATCCAGAAAAAGATACATTTAAAAGTGCCATCCAGCCTTCTGAACCAAGAACGGCAATGGGTCCCACAAGACCTCCAAGTCACCGACCGGAGATCCACCAGGACAGAGAGTCAGGCCCATGTCCTGTGTGGGCATCTAGTTCCAGCTCACAATGGCACGCGCCCGTCCCCGGCCTCCTGAGGCAAATCTTGGCGCCTTGGAACAAAGGTTTCCACCACTTTGTGGCATCGCTGACAGGTGCACTCTGAACAACGGAGTCCCTTCTGTACTTCCTGTTGCCAGGCGGCTGGGCCATACATAGAGCAGGTGCAGGGACGCCCACTTGACGGGCATTAGATTTGGATGACTAGGAAACAGTCTCAGTCACCTGAAGGGCAGGAACAATCTTGGGGGCCAGTGCTGTTGACAAACAGGTCCCGAGGTCAGTACCTAGCCATTGTGAGTTCTAGGCCACTTCCTTCTGGTTTGATCCCCACCCCCACTGAGAACTTGCCTTCCAAGACGACGCCTAGGAGCTTAGATTCTCCTCGATCCCCGGGGGATTCTTACGTCTATGTTATTATTGTACAGTGTCGAGTCTGACTGAGACTCCTGGGTGGGGAGGCAAGTTCTCCACGAGGGGTGGAAGTGGCAGGAAGCCCTGGTTTCAGGGGCTCCCTGCACTCTGGTGCTGGCATGTCCTGGAGGCTCTAATCCACAAGAAAGAAACCAAACGAAATCAGGCAGCACACTAAGAAAAAGGCTGGTGAGGAGACCCAATTAGAGCTTTCTCCTTTCTACAAGAAATCAATCGCTCAAAATGGCCACTTCGTTGTTTTGCTCTTTTTCCCTTCCTAATGACTCAAAATACAGGAGGAGCAAGACCGTGGGGGTGGGGGCGGGGCGCAGCAAACAGCCTCTGCAGGTCGCACCAGCGCCAATGCCCAACCTTCCTCTGCCTGAAAAATGGGGCTGCCTTGGTGACCTGGGAAGGGACAAGCAAGTCACTATAGAAGATGTGAGAAGTGGATCAGTAGTGTTTTTCAAGTTGGCCAGCCCCTTGGGGTCCTTGGGGCAGGGGTAGTGGGGGTTTGAAAGCTCGTCCCCAGTACAGGGAGGGGCGTTGGATGGCCGTTGCGGTTGCCTTTGGCAAGGAGAGGGGAGGGCCATGGTCTGGGCCAGCTGCTTCTCTTTGGTGGCCAGCAATGCCCTTTGTGCTCCCGGCAGCACTGCCAGTGTTCTCTAGGCGTGAGAGCGTTAAGGCATCCACCACAAAGGGGGCAGCTTCAAACCAGAGGGAGACAGAGCTGCGACGTGCCAGCCCAGGGACATCAACATGGCCTTTCCTGGGCCACTGCCCAGCGTGGTAGCAAAGCTCGGCCCCACGGCCTGGTCCCCTGCCACTGGGAGATGCACTGAGCCCTATAGGATTCATATGGCTATTTCTGTCTGCTGGCCACAAGAGAGCCGAGTGGGTCTCCGGGTGCAGCTTTGAGATCTGGGAACACGCACAGCTCTTAAGAGTTGAAAAGTTTGCTCGTTAGTGGCAAGGACCGGGGAGGAAGGCAAATGTGGAGTTAGCCACAGCAATCCTGGCCAGAGTTTGAGGCCCCACCCTGCGGGGCTTTCCAGCCAAACGTGAGTGTGCCGGCAAAGACTGCTGCAAGGCTCTGCTCAGCAGAACTGCTCTCTGACCCTGCTCAGAAGACACAGGGCTACAAAAAAACACGGAACCAGACACTCCAGGAATTTCCAGGTAGCCATGGCATTCTGAAGGAGCTGAGGAAGCCCCTAGACTCAGTACAGTCCGAACGGCTTAGACATTCCACACTGGTCCTTCTGTGGGGTTCAAAAGTGAACTCAATGGGCGGCGGCCAAGGTAGGAAACCGTGTGCTACTTTGGTCTGTGGCCAGCAGAGGGCGCACGAGCTCTATTTCCAACGGCAGGCGAAGGACTTCACAAAGGTGCTGGCTTGTGCATCTTTACCGATTGTTTTATAGACTTCCTGAATCCCCTGCTCAGAAGAAGGCAGCCTTGGTTCCCCCCTTTCCGTAAGATGTTTTGAAATGGTACAGAAAGTGAAAATAAATTAGCAATACAGTATTATACACTCATGAGACAGAACAGGATTTAACAGGGCTTTCGGTAAGCATGGAAAAACGGGACCAAAATGTTTGTTAGACACTTTTGCTCTCACTGCTGCCCATGATCAGACCATGAACGGGTGTGGGTGATCCACTCAGACAGAAGCAGGTGACATTCGAGGGCGTGAACAAGCTGTGGTTGACACCACGGTAGTTTCTTTGAGGGGCTCAGAACAGACACAGCAGTCTCTTCATCACCAGGGCTGGAGAAGTGGTTGTCCTGGAGAGGCCGCACCGCACAGAAAACGAGCCCTGCCTGCCCCAGCAGTCAGCAGCAGCAGCGACGAGTGGGGAGAAGGGCGGGCGGGCAAAGTTAGGAGAAAAGCAGGGGAAAGATGAAGGGTCAAGAGACATGATTTCAATAAGCGTTCAATCAACAGGCAACACCTTCCCTGTGCCACACCCTCTCGTCACTGCGGTCGGACGGGGCAGACCTCATGGCGCAGTTATTTTAAGAGGGACTGCTGAGCTGCTAAGATCAGGCTTAGCCACACACACACAGAAGAACATGTGTTGTTTTACTTTTAAAAAGGTGATCACGAAGATGTCACTAACTATCCCATTTCACTGAAAAATGTAACCCCTTCATTTCCAAAGACACTGTGCACGCTGACTGCTCTTGAAGGAAAGCCGAGGCCCACACCTCCTGGAGCTTGGCTCTCCAGTAAGAAGGTGCTGGAGGTGGGGGGTGAGAAGAGGGCTTGGAACAACACTGGTGTCTCAGGTGCAGCCCGTCCAGCGAGGCCCACGCACAAGGGGCCTTCCCGAGACCCCCTCCCCAGGAGCAAGTCAGCTCTCCCGATGTGTCTTGCTAACGTTTTGGTTCTTTCTCTCCTTGACGTGAGCCCCAAATGAAATGCCATCACCTTCTGCATCTAAGACGGTGGGCACTCTGACCTCCTGCCAAGGCATGTGGCCTCAGCGGTAAAAGCACCAGTCGGACATGGTGAGAACCATGGTAAACACCAATGGGGACGGTGGCAGAGCCCCTTAGCAAAGAAGAGATTGTAGCTTAATTAGAGAACACTGCACTGTCATAATTACTCGTTCACTCTGAGCTTGAACTTCTCCACTATCCTTAAAACTAAAATCCATCTTCCCTGAGAATAGGGTTAAGAGAAACATCAAAACTCAAACCAAAGCCCAGGCCCTTTTAAGGACAAGACAAGGGACCGTCTCGCCCCGTTCGCCGCATGCTGTTCTCTACTCTACAGGCCTTCCCCTTTAGCTGGGGTTTCCTCTCACCTCCCTCCAGACTCTAGGAACATAGGTGGAGATGGGCAAGGTGAGACACGAGACCGAGGAAGTGAGCGCTGCCCTGTGCCACTGAGCAGGTCTCGCTGGATGGCAAGCGCCCAGGACAGAGGCGGGAATCTCAACACTTAATGCTGGTGTCCTATGGACAGGATGAGTGGGATGAGGCAGCCCAGGACCAGAGCGGCCACCTCCAAGCGGCTGAGGCCTCTCCCTCCAGGGGCTTCGGGTTTGTGGCTGTGCCCCATTCCGCCCACCTCAGGAAGGACATGTACTGTGGCAACATAGAGAAATGTCCCGGCAGAGAAGAGCATGGCCACTCCAGTGGCGTTGACCTCTGAAAGGGCCTCTTTACTGCTCTGTGAATTCAGAAAAAGAGACAGAAAGGACAATTAAGTAAACACCACACACTCTTCACGATGGGTGCTATCTGGGACAGTGGGGACAACTGGAGGTCACAGCAGTTTAATGTCACTTATAGGAAGCTTCCGAGTAAGGTACATGAAGGCCAGTGATGCTCAGAGTTGCTTTTTCAAACCATCTCCAAGCCCTGAGTGGGCAGGTGCAGGCTATCTGATGTTACGATGGGGGCAGCTAGACATTAACACAGCCTTTCCCTCCGTGACTTGCAGCGTTGGACACTGTTAGAGCCACGAGGCACCGGGCACTTGGCAATAGAGCGGCCGTGGAGAGCAGGACCTCCCCGTCCTCTAAACTTTGGACTTACAGAGCAGGCCTATAAACTGAGATGATTTGATGAAAACTTCAAGAAAAGCACAGGCCATAATTACAGTATGTGACTCCACGCCTCCAGACCTTCCTGCCAAGTTTTAAAAACTTAGATTGATCAATAAACTGGTAACACTTTAGGGGGAAAGCTATATTGCTCATTGAATGAAAGGTAAGGTCCTCGGGTGGACAGAAAGGGGTTTTATAACACCTTAACTGTTAGCAATTGAAGTCAGCAAGCCCTTAATTGACAGGCACTTAGCCCCTCATTAACCACCCCATTTCACATGAGTTTCTTCTCAGACCTGTTTGACTCTATCACACATGGACGCGTAGAAGACTCATACCCTGCGCACACCGGGGAAAGCAGTTCCCTGAATTAACCTCAAGTCATAAGAGTTTGGTTCTAAGATTTTCCTCCTGTTGCTGTGGTTGACTGTTAGGTCAAGTGGGGAAGGCTGGAAGATACAGCAGTCAGGTCTGGGAAGAGCCAGCAGCACAACCTGTGCTTGAGGTCTAAGCTACCTTACCACGCGTAGAGCTGGGAGCAGGAGACTGAGTCTAAGCGAAGTGTCCTTGCTCATTCTCACTTCACTCAAGGCTGCCTCGGGGCTTGTCATTCACGTCTCCGGTGCCCATCGCAACATCAACTATCAATGGCTGTGATTTGTTGTCCACCTGTGGAACACTAGCATCTATTTGGGCAATTATTTTCTGGATTCAACGAGGATGACATTTTTAAATTAAATGACTAAGGAAAAGCTAAATTTGTGAAGAGGACTTTGGCTTGGAATTAAGACATTTATCTTCTCTGGGTTTTACTCCTAATTTTAACGTCAGTGTCAGAGGGTAACTCAACAAGAGACCACACCTTCTAGGGGCTCTCTTGGAAGCCTGCTAGAAATGAGTCCGCCTTACCTTACTGAGTCCCAAGTACGTCACCATGGACATGACGGGTGCCGCCAGTGCAAAGACCAGCAGATGTCTCCGGATTCGGTTCCGTTCGAGGCCTGCATGCATCAAGAAGGAGACCAGTCCAAACGCAGCTGGTGCCTGCGGGTGGGTAAAAATCCCGACTTTCACTCTAAAGTTCGGGAGTCCTTCTACACCAAGAAGTATATGTCAGTGACTACATTCTCGTACAAAGCAGAACAGAACAGAACAGGTATAGCATCCAAATGGGCTCGGCCTTTTAGGGAAATCAGGCTCTAACCAGTGGTTCTCCATCTTCTGAATGCCCCAACCCTTTCAGACAGTTCCTCATGTGGTGCTGACCCCCCACCAACCATAACATTATTTTAGTTGTTACTTCGTCACTGCCATTTTGCTACTGTGATGAATCAGGCGACCCCTGTGAAAGGGTGGTTCGACCCCCAAAGGGGTCGCGACTCACAGATTGAGATCCGCTGCTCCAAGCTTAAGAAAATGTCCTGTTTCTTTGATACTAGGAAAGGGAGAAACTCCCCATGAATATATGCCCTCAAAGGGCGTAGGAGAAAACTACAGTTATGCTAAAACATGACTCTTAAAAAAAAAAAATTAGACATCTGCAGGCAGTGTCAGAGTTCCTACGACCAGTCAGTTAGAGGGCCACAAACAGAAAAGCCCTCCAAGCACGTTTAGGAAAAGGTAGCCAAACAGACTCCAAGCGTCAACGCTCCCAAAGAGCAAATATGAAAATGAAGTTATTTTCTCTTGCAACCTCACCCCATACTCCGTAAAGATGCTAGCCCCCAAACAGGCACACTGTAGGAGTTGCTCCAGCAGCAAGTCTCACCCCCAGTTTGGCTCACCTTGTGTAACATTATGGCCACGAACACAATTAACTGGACGCTGGTCTGTGACGTAGAAGCTGCTGCTCCCAAAGCGACCCCATCAGCTGCATGTGGGAAAGGAGTAACGTAAGGAAGGTACCGTCAGTGGGAACAATCGCGACGGCTAGACAGTAGTTGAGAATGTAGGTGAGGGTGAGAGAGGGTTAATTTGACACTGGGAAGATTATTCAATCCCCCAGATCCTCAGTTTGCTCAACTCTCTAGATCGGGTTCAGTAAAGTTTGCATTCTTTAGGATCTGTGGGGCGATTAAATGAGGCAATGCATGCAAAGAACTCAGCACATGCTCGGACCATTCCACATCCGCTATTACTGCTTTTGTTCCTAAACCACGTACTGTGCTACAAACAATCTATTGATGCACCAAAGTGCAATGAGAGAAACACCAAAGAAAACTGACTACTCAAAAAACTTTATCTTTGGGCACTGAAACTTAAATTTCAGCTAATCTTCAGCAGCCACAATATAGTCTTCTCCACCCACCCTCACCCCACCACCACTTAAAATGATAGAAGCCATTCTTATTCTTGTCTTGCCAGCCCAGTTTTTAGGGCTTGACTCAGTGTGCCAAGGCCGGTGCTGGAGTGCCTGGTCTGGTTACGCATGCTTCCGACCCCTGGCAGCCAGCCCCCACAACACTGATGACCAGTACCGCCTCCCCCCTTGCATGTGGCAGAGAGAAGCCAGCCCCACCTGCTGCGTGGACCACCAGCCCCAGAGTGGTGGTGATCTTGGAATTGCTGGGCCTCGCTGCTTCAGAATCTAAAGTGAAAGTGAGAGAGACAGGCATTAAGCAATGTGAGATAGAAACTGTTAGAACATTGGTCTAGAGGTGAAAAATTATTTGAAAGCTCTTAAAGTACTACATTACTTGTCCACACAAGTGCCTCTCTAGGCTTCAAAAACCTGGAAGAAGCTCCTGTTCTGAAGGAGGTCGAAGGGAACTCTTCGTCTGAGACAGTCTCCCTTTAACAGACAAATTCTGAAAGACGGGTAGCTCAACCTCCTCACTCCTTAACCCTCTACCACTGCATGGACAGTGCGCTATGGCTGCCAGTCACGTCTTTCCAGGCCAATCTAACAATCACTGTCCACCTCTTCTTCTTCCTCAGTCAGCCGCTTGCTCCTTGATCCTCACTGTAACATAGAATGTCTGTCCCATTTGCCCCTTTCCATTATCACTACCAACCATCCCAACGTAGACGATGGCATCAGGACCGAGGAAGGCATGTTAACAGCCTCCTCAATGCAGATGACACATCCCGCTTTCTAAAATACCACCCTGGGTGTATGCCACCTGAATTTAAGTCCATCTCAGGAAGAGATCTGACAAATTCAACGAGACGACCAGAAGAACTGTGGGATGACACCAAGAACGTTATACAAGAGGGAAGGAAAAGGTATTCAAAAAGATCGGGAAGAAAGAAAAGATCAAATATCAGAGTGGACGTTAGAAGAACGGATGCATTTGAATTACCGTATATACTCGAGTATAAACAGACTCAGATTATCAGCCGAGCACCTAATTTTACCACAAAAGCTGCATT